CTTTAATAACCCCAAAATCTACAACTCTTAGAAGGAAATACCTAGAGAAGGAAGCTTTCTTCCCTTCACATTAATCTCCAACCCATCTAACCCATGGACTTCCCATTCAGTGCTGCATGAGAACACAGCCACAGTTTGCTGTCAGTGGTCAGCAGCAATTTTTGTATTTTGCTTTTCTGGGTAGAATAAATTAATGATTACTGGTTGTTGGTGTTTTCTCATGAAAAAGAGATTGTTAAAGTAACAATTGAGTGCTGCAGTAGTGCCATCTAATGCACACTTAATTTTCATAAGTATTTTTAGATTTTGTGTGTGGAGATCAGTGGGTGGTTAGTGGCTTAAGTAATGTTCTTTAAAACTCCCAGTACGAACCATGGGGGGAAAAACCAGCTTAGAAATTAAATGCTGCAGCTACAAAAATACAACTTGTCTTTTTGGTTTTCTGGGATTTTTTTGTTGTTGTTGTTTTTGTTTTTTGGGTTTTTTTTTTGTGTATGGGTTTTTGTGGGGATTTTTTGGTGTGTTATGTTGGGGTTTTTTTGGGGGGAGGGGTTTTGGTTAGTTTGGGTTTGTTTGTTTGTTTGTTTTTTGTTTTCAGAAATGTTAATATTTGTTAGCCAGCATGTTAAGAATACTTTTTTCCCCTTTTCAGTCCATTGTTGACAAGCATGCCTGTTTCTGGTAGAGCTGATATCCCTTGGGGAACCTTCCCTACTACCAACTAAACTCATGATTTTCATCTTGAAGCCTGGAGTTTTGCATTTGCCAGGGCTGTTCTCATGGTCCCAAATGATGATCAATTCCCCCAAACCAAACAGATTTCCAGAGCCTGAAGTGGAAAAGAAAGATGTCTTCATATGCTTACAACAATTATTTCTTTTTGGAAGATGGATAGTATTTTTGAGGCGATTACATAAATGATTTTAATTCTTTAGAGCGTAAAGATTTTGTTCACTTTGTTTCCACTTCCAAATATTGCTGATGTCATCTATTTAAAAAAAAAAGAAAAAAAAAGCCTTTGAAGGTAAATAGTCCTTTTCAACAGGCTAATGTGGAGTTTTTTGTGCTTTGCCTACACACCAGCCACAACTGCTGGAAAAACTACTACCTGAAAAGGTGGAGTTGTGCTAATGCCAGCAAATCATGCTGACAAACAGGTGCCTTACCTAGATAGTTCTGGGGTTTAGTTCTAATGACAGCATTTGGGCCTTTTTAGAGATAATTGTATTTCTGCTGCCTTAACTAAGCCAACACTTCAGAGATGGGCCACACTAAAATCCATTTCTACGTTTTTTTCTAGTTTAAAGCTCGAGGTCAGGCTTGGCTTTTCCAGTGCACCTGTCCCATGGTGAGGCAGACCTGCTTTCTCCCTGTGGTTTGGAAAAGGGAATATGTGTAGTGGAAAGAGCCCCGTCCACCTTCTTTACATCCCATTACATCTGAGACCAGGGATTTTTCAGATCCAAACAAGGGACAGGGTGGCCTCTTTCATGAATGAACCAAGATGGAATGTTTTCATTTCCAATGGGCTCTAAGCCAAGTAAATATTAGGCGATCCAAACTAGTTTTGAAATTAAATTATTCTTATTTGTTGGAGCATTCCAGAGAATGGCTTTGATCTGTCTGTACTTTCACCAAAGGGATATTGGCAGGCTGGCCTCCCATTTCTAGCCATTTGGGATGAAAGAAGGGTTATAATAACCACCTTGTGTGGCAGTGATCCTGAACAGATGACATTTTTTGGACAATATTAAATGAATAAAGGTAAACATACTTCAATTAAAATGTTTTTGGAGGCTGAATGCAATAGGGCTGTTGGAAAGTCTTCTATGTGGGTTGGAGGAATTTGGCTGCATTTGTAACTGATTTTCTTTAACTCCAAAAATCTTGGAAAGACAGGGGTTTGTTCTGTGCATTATTTCCTTTCCAAATAAATACATTGTTGGAATAACTTAAAAATCAAATCAAAATTGGCAGTGAACAATGAAATTGTCAGTAACTGGGAGGTAGAAAGGTTGAAAAAGGAGGGTTTTTTGTTTCTTGGATCACATCAGCTCAGTGACCTGTACCAGGCACAGTGACTGAGTTAGCTCAGGTGATACCTGCAGGGAAACTGAAGCACACAGCAGTTAAGTAGCACATTATCAGTCTTACCAAAGGTATTTGAAGACAACTTAGAAATTAAAGTTAAAAATGCAAAAATTGAGATGCTCAGTGTCCCACAGTCTTGCTGAAGGATCCTCCAGAAGAGGTGGGAGCAGGGTGGTGGAGACCCTCCCACCATGAAGTGCTGCTTAGACACAGCTGAAGAACCTTTTAAATTGATACCAGTTGATGATAATTTGTAATCTCCCTAGACTTAAACAATAACTGAATTAAAATCTAAGGAGCGGAACAAGTGGGTTGGAAAGATCTGCTGGAAGTCACTGGTCTGACCACCTTTCACCTTCAAAATTAGGTCAGGTATCTAAATAAGTTCAGCTATATGTTTAAACTCCAGCTTAGATTTCAGGTTATGTGGAACCTCTGGTGTTGAGGTTTCTTACATGTATTTACTAGGTTTTCTGTAAATAACTAAATATGCAAATTGTCATTTGTAATATTAATGCAAATTAAATTGCTTTTCCTAGGAATGTGAGTAGTTTGCATGGACAGACAGGTGCCTTCTCACAAAAACTATGTCAGTTTGCTTTGATTTCACAAAAATTAGACTAGCTGTACTTGATTTCTGAGTTAAATAAAAGAAAAATCTCTTTTGACAGATACCATGTTAAACACTCAGTGCTGTTGGTGCGTGTTCTGAAGTGTCACCTGCATTTTAAATCTGTTTAAGTACTTTGTATGTTCATGCCTTAAGGGAGAAGGGGTTTGAACAAAGACAGATATAAAAAAACAAAGCACAAAGGGTTTGTAGGTTAAAACTCAAGCTTTTGGTTTTTTTGAACATCAGCTCAAATCTGGATCCATTTGCTTGAAATGGAATATTTAGTTTTCAACTCAGCATGTGAACTGGTCATGCTTGAATTTAAACCTTGATTTATTTCTTTTTGCACCTGTTTTTATTTTAACACTGACTCTATACAAGACAGAGTTTTGCTACATGGTTCCTTCCTCCCCAGCTGGAAGTCTGGTCTGATATTATCGTGTGAGACCTTCCAAAAATTTACATTTGTAACTCTACAACCTCTGAAAATACAAACTACACTCGCTGCTCCATTAGATTATGAAGTTCTTCTTGAATTTATGGTTTTCTTTCCTGTGTCACAGCATTGACCCACATATTTTAAGACCAGTGGCTGGTCGTGAACTTGCCCTGCAAAACCTTGTTTGTATAAAACAATGTGCAGTCCTGCCCCTGGCAAGAGGTGCCAGATGGGCTGGATCAGGGGAGAACTGGACATAAATTTGGAGGAGGAAACGTAAAAGGAGCTGAGGGAGAGAAGAGGGAGACGTGAGGCAGAGCATGGGAAGTGATGCTAACACAGGATTGATGTACAGGAGGGCCTGAAGTCTGGGAATTTTCTACAACAGTTGTATTTGACAAAGAGAAGGGATGAACTCAGTGACTTAAGGGGGAGGTTTTAAAGGAAATGACATGTGCAGTCTCATGAATATGCAAATCAGAATTACATAATCTGCAATAACAATAATAATCATAAAATCTTTTCCAGATTGGCAGCTGTAATCATATGCTCAGTGGGGTGGTGGCAGGGAGCTGGCAGCCACAGCTGCTGTGTAAAACTGGGGCATCCACCTGGTTCTGATCTCGATAGAAAAGGGACAGGAGGTCACATCACAGACTATTGTTCTCAGTGTCTTGTAGTTTATATAATGTTTTCAGGCTAATAAACAAAGTATGGGGAGACCCCAGAGGCATTTAAAAGATGTGTAGATGTGGCACTTGGGGACATGGTTAGTGGTGGCTTGACAATGCTGGGTCACCATGATGCTCTTGGAGGTCTTTTCCTACCGAAATGAGTCTTATGATTTTTTCATCAAATGAAAATGCCTCACTTGGTTCTGCAGTAACTGTAAGCCATCCTCTTTCCTTGCTTTTCCTTCCCCATGGAATAGTGAAATTGGTTCATATTGCCCCTGTTCTTTCCCATGCAGATGTAGGAATTTCAGGTGTATTTACTGTACCCTTTGCAGGGTTAACTGTGTGCACCCTTTATAAATATAATTTGTCCTGAGAGAAAAGATAAGCTAAATGATAAAATATGTTGTGATACTGAAGTAAACCCTCCATAATACTAAGCAGTAGAGTTTAACCAACTGATCATGAGCGGGTTTTTTCTAAAGGCTTGAAGAACAGGTGTATTTGCTGACACACAGATCTTTTCACCAAGGCATGGGCTTATCTGATGAGTGAGAAGAGCTACCACTGTCTGTGCCACCACAGTTACTGTTTCTTTGTAAGGAAGGTGGAAAAAAATCTCATTTGATATGAAACTTTGATGTCTTCGTATATTTGCGGATTGTAGTTGAGAGATATGTTCAGTAATCAAGTTGGATCTCTGGTTTTAGTGCTAGCTTGGACAGGGGAAATATGAGTGCTCAAGCAAGAATTAGGGCATTTTTTCAAATTTCTGAGAGTAGAGGCAATTTTGGCCACTATCTCATTTCTGTTATATATGTCTATATTCTGATATGTATTATATATGGATATATTCTGTTACATATGTCTGTATATGTGTGTACAAAACCCCCTGTGTGTAGCATGCACATCTTTGTCAGACTTGGTGTGATTCACCATATTAAGTTGTTATTTTGCAAATACCCTGGAGATTCCTGCATGTCTCTTCCTAGAGCTGCATTCAACTTCTTTCCTAGATGTTGGCAGACTTTGACTTGCATATCTGAAAATTAGGATGGGCACTGGGTCCTATGATAGGAGTGTATGAATGGAGAGTGTGAACCTTGTAGGAAGAGTAATTTTATTTCAGATGATGCAGTTCTTGTCATGTAAACCTGATCTTGTTTCTTGTCCTTTTTCCTAGGGTGACTCTGTTATTACAGTGCAGCTGACTGAGGAAGATAAAGTTGAAGATGATGTAGTTTTTTATTTGGTCTTCGCTGGATCAACTGTCCAACACTGCACAAGCACGAGAAAGATTAATCCTGGGAGTCTGGAGACAATTTCTCCCGGTAAACAATTGCTTTTCTTTGCATGTCAGTGTATCAGTCTGTGAGATTTGGTTACTACAAGTAGACTGGAATGTAATGCTATTTGCTTGGTTGACTTTTTCCTCATTTACACATTCACAAGGAATAGAACATGTGGTTTGGATGACTGCTTTTGCCTTTTAAAAACCTCTTACTTGATTTCACTAGAATTATATGACTTTGAGATTGCAGTCGTTTAATATGTAACTATGAGATAGTATTGTAGAAAACTCAAAGTTACACATGCACATAGTAAAATACTTTTAAATGCAGCAAAGATGGTGGAATATACATTTGTAAAATTAAAAATGCTATTGCTCAAATGGTGGACAGCCCAGTAAGTCTTAGCTACACTCATCATCTGCTTGACTTGATGAGGTTCATTGCTCTCTTCCTGGTAAAATACAAGCCTTTCTCCTAAATCCTGTTCAGCTCAGAGCTCACAGAGCATCTCTGGGGCTCCTGCAGTACAGGTGATGTGCTGCTCAGTGCCATCTCTTCATGGCTGGTTCAGATGAGGTGGCTTTCCACATGAAAGCCCACCTCTGTTTTTATCCTTTGTGCCACCAACAAAACAAAGCCAATCAGCATTTCCCTTTGGTGACTTCAGGACCGTGGGAATGAGCGTGTTCCAGGCTGCAGTCCTCACCATTAACCTTTCATTCTGACTTGTTGCTATGCAGCACATTGCTACCAGTGTGAGAAAAACGCCTGACATTTTCACTACACACAGTGTAACTCAGGCCATCAAGTGTTTTTCTTGGGTTTGTCTTTTCATCTACCTCCTAAGTATTGTTTTGTGACAGATGCACGTGGAGTAAAATTTGGAGTTGTTTTCTCTTGGGAATGAGTGGCTAAAAGTTGGCTGCTCCATTTTTTTCATTTCCTCCTCTTTTTGTGCCGTTGATGTTGTTCAGTTGGCTTGGGAAGAGAAGCCTTTTTATGGCTACTGATGACTGGAGCCCCGTGCAATCAATTAGATTAGTGCTTATTTTCTCCCAGAAGAGCAAGAGGGGGTGACTCCTTCCCTGCTTTTGTGTGGTGGGCGTGGGGCTCTGCCAACCCTGCTCAAAATGACTTCACCTCTCCCTCGGGGCCGTGGCTGCTGAGCCAAGAAAGGAACTGAAAAGCTTCAGTGTTCCCTTCAGCCCATGTGGGAGGCAGGCTGCTGGATGGGATTTCCGGGCAGGAAGGACACTTAGGACACTTTCCCATCGCTGCAGCAGTGCTGGCGGTGCCCAGGGCGGTGGCTGCCAGGTGGGACCAGAGTGATGCTCTGGGCACTGCCTGTCCTGCCAGCCCCAGATGTAACCGAGTCACTGGGGAGGGCTCCCTGCAGCTCCTTCTGGTGCTGTTAGTGGGAAATCTGACACCGTTCGTGAGTCAAAAGGAAAAGAGGGAATTTCTCTCAGTTGTTCCTTTAGCAATAATTGATTGTTTTTTTTGCTGTGTTGTTTTTTTTTTTTTTTTTTTTTTTACCCAGTATAATCATGATCTTGTGGTGTGTGAAGCTGGACTGGGATGGGTGCTGTCCCAAAATACAGCTTGTTTCAGACAGAGTTTTAAGGGACCTTTCAGAAAGGCAGTCTCATTCCTGCACTGTGCAGGGCTGTGGTGCAAGGAAGAGGTGACATCTCAGATGTAAAGTAGCCATATGGATAACACTCTCATCTGTGCTTGTACCTCATTTTGGTGAGACTGCCTAAAAAACAAATATTCAGTGATGAAGAGGTTGTTGAGGAAAGGCAGATCAAGAAATGGGAAAAGCCTATTTTTTTCATACCCTTTGCTGACACCTGTGCATTTGTCCAGTGTTGTTTCAGCAGTGATTACACTGATTTCAGTGGAAGCATGACTTACTTCAGTGCAGCTCTTCCTCCTCCTCCTTCCTGGACGCACAGTGAATCTGTAATCATGTGTTTACTCTGTATGTTCCAGAGTTGCCTTGGCGATGGCTGTGGTGACTCAGAGCGTTATTTGACCTGGGAGGGATTAGCCATGAACAACACACAGTGTGTGTGAGACCAGCCCTTGTTCAAACACCCAGCCCGGGGCACTTAGCAAATGCTGTGCAAGGAAACTCCTGCAAACAGCTTTTAGCCAAAATCTCACCCTTTTCTTGCAGCTCCGAGCATCTTTCATTTGTTGCTGTGATGCAAAGAGTGTTGAACATCCCTGCGAGCACAGCAGCTCAGGTGGCAGCTCAGGTGCACTAAGGAAGGGCTGATTCACTCAGGAGCCTCTCTGCCTTCCTGGAACCTCCTCTGCATCCCTTCTGCACTCGCAGCCTCTTCCCTCATTCTTGCCCCAAATCCTTTAAATTTCATTCTTCCCCCAACTTCTTAAAATTTCATGTGGTCCCCAGGAGACTTCAGAAGAAATCCATCAGCGGCTGGGATGAAAGGGGTGACTGTAATTCTGTTCAAGCTGACGTAAAAGCAAGCCCAGATTTGTAATTTTTGTTTCTTGAGTTTTTCAGTGTGTTTCTTAATGTACAGAAATGTAAGAGACAGACAAATTATTTCATTGCATTTGCTGCCAAAATTAATCAGAATGTTTTAGCAATGCTTTCAAATAAAAATCACATTTAAAAAGAAATCTTAACAACATAAAGTTGTTTTAGATGAAAAATTAGAGAAAATGGAATGGAAATATAAGCTGTCAAAATACCCCATAAATTTTCATTGTATGTTAAAATTCTCTATATCCTGAAAGACTTTACCTAAATAAAAGCTTTTCACTGCAGAATTAAATGACTGCTGCATCTTATATAATTACTAGAGCAATCTGCTTCTTTCCTATGCTTTTTTTATCATCAGCCTTAAACACTGAATATGTATATAGTCGATACTACTGTTCAAATGTGAGCTTTTATTTCTGTACATAGTAAAAGAAAGAACTTATGACTGTAAATTTATGGGAGCAGCTTTTTTTTACCTGAAGATGTGAGTAGATACAGATTCATCACTTCTTCAATCTACAGAATACTTACCTGTATTTACACTCTTGCTCTGAAGAATGGGATGGATTATTTATCCTGCCCTGCTGTTGGTTGTGTTAATTTAAGGAAGGTAATTTCCCCTTGTAAAAAACAGATTCTCATTTGAGCTGCCCAGTCATAAATTGAAGGGTCAAAATTAGCTACTGTGATTGAAGAATTAGCCAGGAGATGAGTTTTTGTGTGCTTTCAGTAGTTATTTTACCAGCCTAAGGACTCACCAGATTACATCATCCATACAAGCTTTCGTTTCTCTCAGTGAAAAGCTACCAAAAGCTTATTTAACTGTTGGCTTTCCTGTCAATATTACAGTTCTTCTATTTCTAGTTAATCTGGTTGAAATTCTCCCTAATGGAAGCAGTTTTCCTCAGTACCAGAGGCACTGTATAGTTCTACAGCATAATTTCAAGCAGTGTTGTATCAGACACAGCATTAAGGTGGCAGCTGGAGGTGTAGTGGCACTGGCACTGCTCCAGTGGGGATCTCAGTGCAAAAGCTTGGCCACTGGAGTTTGGGTGTTAAGAAAGCAGCAAAAGTCTGAGCAGGGAAGGAAGTAGAGAAATGATAGCATCTCTGCTGCTGTGGTTAACTGTTGTTGGCTGCTGAATTTGTACTGTTGGGGATGGGTCACAGATGCTTGTCCTCCTGGTGTTGGTCATTAACTGAGCTTTTCAGCAAGTCCTTGTTCCTACAGCAGCTGAGACTTCTGTAATCTCAATGCATTTTTTCCTTCCCACCATCTCTGCAGGGTAGGGAGGGTAACTGAGGCCAAGCAGATTGCATGTGGTAGTGAAGGAAATCTGGTAAAGCAGGGAAGTGAAACATTCATTGCAAGACAGCAGCCTCATCTCCTGTCTCTCTGCTAGAGCAGCTTTTTTACCACTGGGAAAAAACCCAACCCAGTAATAAAAATCCTCAAATCATGATCTGGCAAGCAAACCAGCAGAAGAAGGAATGACCTCATCACTGTCCACACAAGTCAAAAGTCCCAACCACAGCCTGCTGTGGCCAGTGGAGGCCTCTGAGCATCAGGAAGCTCTTGGGGAGATCTGGGGGAATTTTCTTGCAGGAGCTGATGTGCTGGGAGCTCCACTATTGGTGTGGTGCATTTATTGCAAAGGTTTGCATGCCATCGCCATAGCAGCTGTATGGTTGGACATGTATTTTGCTTTGCATTTAACAACTTGTGGTCTGGAAAGTGTGGGAGACATGGAGGAAATTTGAAATGAAATTTCAAACAGGGAGAGACAGTCCAGAAATCCAGAGCTGCTGCAGCAGCTCCTGACCAAATAAGTGAAGGGTAAGAAACGCCCTGTCTGTGAGTCGGATCACCAAAATTTAGTGAGAAGTAAATTTAGTGAGATACAATTGCCTTGGTGAGTACTTTTGCAATGTGTTGTATCAATCCAAGCTCTGTAATACCAAAATTGCTTTTCTCGTGTTTGTTGAACTCAGGTGGTGAAGGATTTTTGTGTGGGTTTCAAAGGGGAGGAGAGTCAAAACTGGAAGTAGAAAAAGGGTCTGAGTGACTGTCTGTCTGGTGGTAGCTGCCTGCCAGCAGTTTCCACAGGGCTGACACATTCCCCTTGACTCAGTCCCAGCTTTCTCTCCATCCTTAAGCTAAGAGAAGCAGCTTCAGTCTTTAACTTGTTCTTAATTCCATAGCTCTCAGAGTTGTTTTTTTGGGTTTTTTTTTTCCTCCTTACTTTCTTTATGCTAATTAAAAGGATAGACAAAAATTAATTTCACTTAGCTTGGAAATACCTTCATTTCAAACTTTTCTTTTACTGTGAAATCCTTTACATCTGGTGATGCTTTATTCATTTCTGCCACAGACTGTGTTTTCCCCTAAGAAACAACTCTTCATAGAAAAAGCTGTATTTCATGAATTACAATCTTTGTATTGGTAGACCAGAAGGGTAAACAAGTTGCATAACAAATGGCCACTTGGCAATACCAGTTGTGGATTTGAAAATACTCTTAA